TGACCTCATATGACCTCATCCTTGGTCATATGACCTGATCACCTGACTAGGCTGAGTAAGCAAGATGTTCTAGCAGGTTCCACCACAGAGGTATAAATATAAGGCCTACTCTGCCTGGGGACTGTCTCTTCAGACTTGGTCTCTTAGGATCATCCACAGGTACCTATACTGTAGATAGGTCTTAGTCATCAGGTCTACTCCACTTCCTTGTTGCCTGCTTAGACTCTTGGCACTCTTAGGTGAGCAGACTTAGTCAGCCTGTGTTGCCCTAACAGTACCCCAGCAGCTTCCATTCATTGATGTGAACCAGCCTATGGATCATTGGCAATGGCCTTGTGCAGGGGTACAAAACACATATGCTTGATGGTGGAACAGAGAGACAGCCACTGCATACTGCTCCACATCTATCACAGCCTTTTTCAACAATGCTTGGTTAATGATTGTGTCATGCATGTGCATGCTGGGCAGTGCCAAGATGTACTGTTGCCTGTCACTGATTACAACCTTGTCCTTCTCATTAGCTCCTGTGCCCTGTGCAAGAAAACAACTTACATGAAGACAGGCAGGTTCCAGGTGTTTCCATGGTCATCCAATAGTTCAATGAAGTCCAGGACCTGGACAATAGGCCTATACACGTGTGGCTCACCAAATGCCATGATGCTTACCGCATCATGGGTCAAGTGAGGGACCTGCACAGGAGAGACAAGTGCAGCCATATGCTAAGCAGGGTACCATGTTGGGCGCATGGTCTCAGACAGCCTCGATGGGGCATGCAATGTCCTGATTTGCTACCAGGATCTGCCTCCATCCATGTGCTGTTGATCCAACCCAAGAGGTGTCCAAAATATTGGTCCAATGGGTGGTGTGCAAGAACTCACTTGGAAAAGAGGGGAGAGATGGGGAAAGTCAGTAAAAATGCAGGAGTCAGCCTGTAGCTGAGCTATTGATAGTCAGTACACAATAATCAGAGCTTGGTGGCCATTCAGTCAAGTCACAATAAGTCAAATCCGCTAAGTCAAGTCAAATCTGCCAGTATATGAAAAATCAGATCTGTATAAGTCTATTGGAAGAGGGGCAGAATAAGCTAGATACAGGAGTTTCTGGAAACTACTTATACTAGCTACCATAAACCACACTCTATACTAATCCAGTCTCTGGATACCTCTCTAAGGCAAGCATTGGCATGCCAAAAATCTGGGTGGGTCAATCCCATTGCAGAGGAAACCTGCTGTTGTCATGCCGAATATCCAAGTGGTCCTGTTGCCTGGGGAATCATAGTAGTCACCATGCCGAATATCTGTGGTGGGTCAAGGCTTGTTGCTGGGGCATGTTGTGCATGTAGTAAGGGTCTGTAGTGCCATGCACCAGTCTCTAAGGCCTGAAAATAACCATGGGAATACTGGCCTGACACACCCCACTAGAGGTGGGGTTGTTCAACATTGCCCAGGGGGTGCACAGAGCAGGTTACAATTAGAAATGGAAGGAGGTAAGTCATGTAATCTATCACATGACTGGAGAACACGCAAGTCTCCTTCACACCCATTTTATCTACAAACGATGGGACAGAAGACCTGAAAATTTGGCCTGCTTCATATGTACTAGTAAAGCTATCATATTGCTTAGGACAATCTGCACAAGTTTTCAGTAAACAATGGAGGGAGAGCAAACACACCAAAGCAGTGGCAGTGAAGGAAGAAGCGGGTGTGCAAAAGGTCCGTCCAGGATTTCAAGATTGAGATCTTCACATACAGGTCCGGCCCTGTATGTCAGACTGAATAGAGATTGAGCACTGTGATCTGCAGAATATCGGTGCACTGAACGCACCAAAATCTGCGCTGGATTTGCGGAAGCACATCTCGAGATTTACTCCCTAGATTCAGGGTGAATCTCGTTACCGAACGGGCTCTAAGTGTAAGTCGTCGTCCGCTGCATATATGCATATAACGAAATCACAAAGCCCGAGCAGCCCGATCCGGCCTCCTACTCCTCCAGGTAGTCCAGGCTGGTACCAAACCGCACCAAGGTTGTAGCGGGCATACTGTAAATGAAGCAGGAAGGGAGATGGGTACTCGCTTCTGCCTGCCTCCCGTCTGAACGGTGCATTGACATTTCGTTCAACCGGCTTAAGCTCGTAAGGTAGAAATTCGACCAGCCAGTACTGCGCCGTGAATCGCCTTTGGTCAGGAAAGCCCAAGCTTCCATGGTATATGGCAACTTGTGATGAAAACTGTCCTGCATTCATATATAGCTATAGCGACCCCAACTACCATCACCAGGCGTGTGTAGCCAGGCCCACAAATGTGCAATACAACCAAACAAGTGATACGATTCAGTTGAGCAGCATGATAGAAATACATGTCGAGTACATTTTTCAAATGCGTTTGTAGTTCTGGAAATGACAAAGAAGTGCAGTTGGCGAAGATGAGGAAGAAAATGATGCCGATCGAGGTCATAGAAAACGCAAGCACAAGGTTACTCGAGCCCGACGACCTTCGCCGCCCTATCCAAAGCCCAGACCCTCCAACCCTCCCTCGCCCCTTCCACGCCAACACCTTGCCCCTGTTTCTCTCCAAGGCCGTCAAAGAATAGCCCTCCCAGCTCGGGCTCTACACCCATGGTCGACGTCACCGCGGTTCGCCTCTCCAAGGAGGACTCGCGCCGCTCGGTCGTGTAGATAACTTCCGCTCGGGTGCGAGTCTGGGATACAGGTGCTGGGCGAGGAGACAATGAAGCCATCCCTTTTCTGCCCCTGGCGGAAAGCCCTGCAGGTACCGTGGAAGACGGTGCCCGCTTGCTGGCGAGCATGACCAAATCAGGGTAGCTCATCGCTTTCGTTCGGGCGGCAAACGACTCGTGCAGGCCGTCATCTGTTTCAGGATAAGGTGCATCCGAGGAGTGGTAGGCATACGTGTATGCGTTGGAGGTGGTGGTGGTGGTATACGCGTACGTAGTCGGAGGCTGTCGCGGAGGTGAAGGAGAGCCAGAGGACGGTGTGCGAGATAACTGGGGAAGAGCTGCGCGCAGAGGTAAGCTGGTTACTGCATATATGCATACAACGCACTCACAGATCCCGAGCACGCCCATACGATCTTCCATACTTAACACCCTCCTCACACACTCATCCATTCCCAGCTCCTCCTCTCCGTCAAGTCTCTTCTCCTCCCCATCGTCACCTTCTCCAGGTTGTGTTCGTCCCTCCTCCCTGACCCAGCCGAAACTCTCCGCGGCTGCCGGGCCATAGAATCCGGCAACACCGAACGGGTCCTCCTCGCGCTCCTCCAGGGGACTGGCGAGTGCGGATCGAGGGATGGCACGGAGTTGAGGTGAGCGAGTGGGTGGTGAGCGGGTGGGGGTGGGTGCGGCAGTGCGTGATTTGCGTTGTGGATGGGGAGGGGGCAGTTCGGAGAGCGAGGTGAGGGGGCGGGTGGTCGGGTGAGTGTGAGCACGGGAGAGGTTGGACATGATGCTATAGTTGAGTTGAGTACGTGAGAGTGAGATGGGGGTAAGAATGAGAGCTGGAAGGAAACGCCTCCCTCCTCTCAAGGTTTATAAAAGATGTGCTGCGTGTATGCGCCCGATCACCACGCCTCTCTTGGGGGTCTGCGCACGCGTCACAAATACGGGGTAACACCTTTGCACGTCTGATGTCTCTTCCGATCTACGCCTGCAGACCCAAAGCCCCCACCGAAGGACAATAAGCTTTCAGGGTCTGGAACCGACACTGCCACCGTTGGGGAACGGAGCGCAGCGGGAGTATGCGGAGGAAGCATGAGAAGGCGAGAGAAAGCACCCGGGTGGAGCCGGGTGGGGCAACCAGCGGTAAGGAATGTTGGAGACTCCTTTCGATGGTTCGGATGCGAGTCACACAGATCTGGCTAAGAACAACACCTTCGCATTGCATTAAGTATATGCATCCCGTTCAGATCAAGGATTGATGTCCTTTTTCATGCTCTATTCTTCACACGAAAAGCAACCCACTCACAAACATCAGGGAGAAACACAAAATTCGTTGATATCGAGAGATTCGTCATCAAATCCAGGTGGTGCGGTGCAGTCAAAGATACTGGTGATACATACGCCTATGTAACGCCAGTATTTGTGCAGTCGATGACAGTTGACGAAACTGACGTTGAGAGAGAGGTACGTCATGGGATTCCACATCCCCGTCACCAAAGCCAGCAATGACAAGTGTTTTTTAATTGTCGCCAATGGGATCTTCAGCAAACATTTGAGCAAGCAGTTGCGGATGTCGTCGTAAGGAATGAGTCAATAGTGACTTTGCTGCGTAGTCACACGGCGTGTAGGTTCAGTCGGGCTGGCAGTCAGTCCTGCCACGGCTGGCAATCGTTCTGAATGGAAACCGTCGACGCCGGCCACGAAGTGAATCATCATCATGTATAAAAGATCTCGCGTCATTTAGTCTGTGCTGTTCGAGGTTCCCACGGACAAGTTGACACAAATACTCTCCTGCACTCAGATGCCGATGACAGCCTTCACCAGTCCAGGGATGTTGCCGAAGAAGTCCAGCACTGGGTATTGTGAGAACACCGTGCTGTATCACAGGAGGAGGAATGTTACGCACTGACAATACCCCATCTAGAGCCCTTGCGCGCCTCGAGCCAAGGGAGAAGCTTCTGGTTCACTCCAGGAACATCAGTTCCGTTCCCGAGTGCTTGGATGATCGGCGTCTCCGGGCTGGGCACATCCGTATCATGCTCGCTGCTCGCAAAACTCCAGAACAGGCTGTCCTTCCATTGTTCGCTTGCAGCCATTTCCAGGTGGGCGGTGGTTGCGTTGAACTTCCACTGGATGTTGAGGGCTGCGCCCGCACCGTTCGGGAGCCCGATCTCGTAGTAGTCCTCGATGTAGGCGATGCCATTGGTCTGCAGGTTGTAGATCAAAGTTATATTGGGGGAGTTGTCGGTCCAGTTGGAAGGAGGGAAGTGAACACCTGGAATGGTGGCTTCAGCCGAAGCAGGCAGCAGCTGTGGCTCATAGTCAACAACGGGTCATATTGGAAGAATGGAGACGCACATCGAGCGTGAACCGCCTGAGCAGGACGATCTTGCCGCGGATATCACCGAGGGTGCCAAACTGATCTTCGTCAGCGAATGGAAGGCAAAATGAGCCTGGACGACTTACTCGGTCTTTGATTGGCGAGATGTACTCCTGCGCAACATCATTTGTGAGAGTCCCATATAGCATTTGCTGGACAGCAGCATTGTTCTGTGCCCACTCCGTCGTCGCTAGCAGTTCGAAGGAGGCGGTTAACAATGCAGTCGAGAATGATCATGGAACAAGCACTCACAGCTCTCGTACATGAACGACAGGAACACTGCCTCGCTCGGATGGTCGTCCAGCCAATGGTAGAAACCATACAGAATGTCCTGCACGGTCGCGGTCTCGCTCTGCAGTGCCGCACTGTGATAGAACACAAGGCTGCTGTTAGTGGGATCGAAGGCATAGCGCAAGTCGAAAGCACGGATTCCGCCGTTGAGCATCTCAACTGTTCATGGACTCGATGGTCAGTCATTGAACCACTACTGAGAGCGGGTGTAGGACCAGGCAGACGTACAGATAGGCTGGTCTTGACACCTGTAGAACTCAGCTGGCTCGGGTTGGTAAGCTTCAGACCCTGTGATGCCTGAAGCAGTGATGTGCTCGAGGGAGTCCTGTGTCGTTTGCGAGTAGTTCCACGTCGCGGTGTCATGCACTCCGGGGATGTTCATCTGTGCGAAAGGGGAGGTGTCATCTCGGCAGTTTGCATGAGGTTTGCAAGTCAGAGGCGTACGCGGACGATGGACAGGTCATCCTATGACAGCATAGTAACAAAGGGTTAGGTGGATTATGAAAGATGGTGATAGAGCAATGCGCACAGGGAACTGGCTCATCCAAGTGCACAACCCCTCATTGCACGACGTGTAGTCTCCAAGGATTGGTCGCCCGTACTGCAGCAGCGTCTGGACAGCCTGTTGGCCCAGATTGCTGGAGTTAGTCGAAGCAGCTGCAGCGTTGACCGCTAGTGCGAGTGCGAGGAGCGTGACGACGAACATCGTTGGTTTGTTGACCTGGGGGCGCCTGTTGACGATGGATGATCGAGCCAGAGAACACAGAGACGTGTTTATATCCACTCTAGGCCCATGTCACGGTGTCTCTAGACCGGAATGTCCTCGAAGAACGTGCATCACGAGTGGAGCCAATGTCATAGGTCGAGACTGCCTCACACGCGGTAGATTGACTCGCGAAGATATGTAGTCCAGCTGTTCCGAAACACACCGACTTGCCAGTACATCATCGTAGCATATGCAGGTCAAGATAGAGAAGCGAGAAGGGAGGAAGGGGAGCGTTGTTGGTTATTACTATATACGAACGTGCTGCCTGGGCGGAAAGAGAGAAGCCTGAGAAGAAGAGAACATAACCGTCCCATTGTATAGAGTTACCAAGTTAGGAAAGCGGATTTTGACAATAACGTTCGGCCACGTGCGCTCTCCAGCGCGCTCGAAATAAACAACACTAAGACAAGTTTATTAGAAGAACGAAATATCCGCAAGCTAGTTAGCGAATCTTGTCTGACAAACATATCTCAATAACTAACAAATACTCATTGAGATATCCGGCGGAAAGCAACAACACCCCATGCAGCGCCGCACAGGATCGTTACAGTGCGTATCTGACAGCAACAGTACAACAAACTCCGATGACCAGCAAGCACGTCGCCCTCACCACATCCTCCTGCTCCCACCAAGGCAACTCCCGCTTCCTGCTCTCATTCTCCCCTTTCTTGCCCTCAGCTCTTGAGACCAGGTCAGTCCTCCGCAACCTCTTAGGCAACTGAAGCACCACCTACCAACATCATGTGCCTCAGCTCAGGAACACGACGGAGAGCGGAGGGGTTTACGCAACTCGTCGACTGAGGATCTCGTAGTCGCACTGTCCCTCTTCCTCCTCTTCCTCCCACTCTCCATCCCCGTGCCCATCTACCGTCCCCTGGTCCTCGCTCTCCACACCAGTTTCTGTTCGACCATCTCCCCACTGTGTACCCCCAGGAAGGGTCGTTATTCCCGCGTCTGACATCTCACGCTTGGGTAGCTGACTAGGGGAGATAGGATCGATCGTGAAGGCCTGAGAGGCATAGAACGCTAGTGCATGTGTGTTCGCTATGTCAATCAAACATGGTTGATCAGTGCTCGCGTTCAGCACGTCGAAGCGAGCGCGTACCTTTCAGACAGGTGAGCATAACCTTACGCATCTTGTACTCGCGTGCGAGGAGGATGAGCTGGTCGACGAGGAACTTCCCCACTCCTAAACGGCGCGCAGGGGAGGCGACCTGGAGCTCATAGCTGTCCGCATAGTTAGTACATCGTACTTGATATCCAAATGGCAGGAAATCCGAATTGAAAGGGGGAGGGGAAAGGGAAATACACACCAGTACAGAACCTCACACTCATCGCCCTTCCAATCATCGTCCATGCATTGCTCCCAATCGAACCGAAACATAGAAAACGCCGCCAAGGACGTTTCATCCCTCCCCATCTCCCTTCCTTTCCCCTTTCCATCTCCCCGTCTCAGCTCTCGCAGAAGCACGAACCTGCTGTCCCTGTGCCATAGTTCTCTCGCTTTCGCTCTCGGATCCCAGCCCATGCTGCTCCCTTCGCTCAGCGTGCGCATATTATGCTCGTATAGAATCCATATGACGGTACGCAACGAAGGGGGGATGAATTCGGCCGAAAGGATAGAGACGGTGTAGGTGGTTGTTGGCAGAGATGGTGGGGTGTACGTCAGGGGCAATAGAGTCGAGAGGTCGTTTGCTGAAGCCTGCCTTTGTGATCAGCACTGTCGTCCCATGTCCATGTCGAGAATGACACTGCTCTGACCCTGCACGCTATGTCAACGCGGTTGCTTTTCTTGCTTTTGGATGGCATTCTAGTGACCGTGAGAGCAGAACCATCGAGTGCAACCAACACAGTCGCGAGGCGTGTTGACGCGTGTACTGTTGCGCGTGAAGGCGCGTCTTCAACCTTTCCGGTCGAACGATCAATGCACTTCATGCGGTTGGTTTTCGGTGTTGAAAGGAGGGATATTTTTCGCCGTCACAGAACAGTGCATCATGGTAGATAACATGCGGTCTTTGTCCCTCTTTATTTTGTGACATACAAGAAGAGGTCCAGTTGACGTACATGCTTTACAGCCATCGGAATACAATAACACGGTGTGCGGCCAGAGGTCAGACACTTTATGGTATGTCTGCATCAAACAAGTAATACTCGTATTCAATAGATACCTAATACACGTCAACTAAGCTAAGCCGACATGAGTACACGATCACATCGAACTACCTAAAGGCGTTGGCCACATTGTCACGCCAGCGTTCTGAAGTGTCCCCCCTCTGGTGAATAGAGCCTCAACACCAGAACATCTACATCAGTTCCTCGACACTGATTGGCCTGTCTTCATTCATGGTGCTGTCTTCCTCATGTGGATCATCTAGAAGTGGGATATCCGCCTGCGTCGCGTCGACGACTCCCTGCAAACTGGGTCAGGAGGATAGCGTAGAATGTCCACTCTTTCTGCTACTCTTGCAGCGCCGGAGTCATGCGTCTCCTTGCGCTGTTTCTGTGAGCTACCAGAGGTACAGGTAGACGATAGAATATACCCATCTTCTGGTACGTTGTAAGTCGTGACCCAAACGCATCAACATGAAAGCAGCATAGCGTAAATGAAGCAACAATGCAGACAGATAGTCATTGCTTGTCGTACCCTCGCCGAATGCTGCGTCGGTGTTATTGGTCAACCCCATGGACAGTGGAAGCAACTTTTGAGCAGTGAATCGCACTTCGGCCGGAACTTCAGCATGAGGAGGAAAAGAGTGGGACGGGATGTTTGAGGTACGTAATCGATTATTAGAACACTGGGTACCTTGATTAGTGGGGTGAGGATGGCGACAAGGAACTCACTCATCACCATGACAGCCAATGTGATTGAATGCTACATGAACAGTGAGGTTGTGCATCATACTATCTCTTATGCATTTCTCAGCTTGTCATTAATGACAATGAGAGTATCACAGAAGACCATGTAACATTATGTGGTCTTTTGCAATACTCTTGTTCATCTGCAATACTCTTGTTCACACCCTCACAGCTGACCCTGCCCATTATTCCTCCATAGTGCTTCTCCCCATTCAAGCATCATGATGCATGAATGGGGAGAAGCACTATGTTTCAAGCCTTGCTCCATCTTCCTCCCCACCTGGGATAAAGAAGCACCAAGGGTTAGAGAAACACTTCCTTGCATGCTAGGGCATCTGCATCAAGCCAGTTGTTGATGATCATCTTCAGCCACTGGGGGGGGGGGTATCACATCAGCACCATAATCACCAAAGGCTTAGCTCGATCCCTCCTGTATGGGGAAAGATGTGTGCTGCTCACACAACACTGATCACTCGACTCCCGTAAATGCGCATGCCAGAGTTCCTTAGATATACTGCCAGCCGTCGTGCTCGTAGCAAGGTTGGTTCGTCATTCAGAAGTCTCCAGACCAACAGGGCTTCCTAAAGGGGCTTGAATCCATGCGACACAACAGAAGGCAAGCTACTAACCGACATCAGGCGGCGTACAAAATCCGTACACGGTACCGACCACAATATTCTGATCTGGGGTGGATGATCCCTTGGAAAGTCACCAGCAATGTATACAGCGATATATCGTAGGTACTTGTGCGGTCGCATGGATGGCATCAATCAAGCGGCACCATGTCGGCCCGGGCATTACCAAAGCGCGCGATAAGTAGTTTTATACACGGTGAACGTGGTTCGCCGTTTTCAACAGCCAAAAAAAACAGAGGTTAGAAGAATGACGTAACTCGTGCTACAGGACGTATGCATCATAAGCAGCCATGACTAATGTAGCGGGAGCAATTCGATCACGAAAATGAACGCCACACTCTTTCGTTCTCAGTCCAGGCATTTGAACATTCAAATCCTTGCACTGTCGGGAAGTTTACTTCTCTTTGGACTCTGTATCTTGTAATGGACTGTTTCCATACTCATATCTGGGCGAACAAAAAGCGAAGCCATCACATCTGCTCGGAGCATAAGTGGTTATGTTCTGCGCGGGTGGATGTTTGGCCTTTCATTGTGGAGATCTAAACTAGATAGTTCTCCGGGGCTGTTGGACCCATCATCCGATCACTCTCGCGCTGGAAACCAAACAGGCGGCTGAATCTCGCGTGTATTCGGGGTGTGTACGTGGTTGATGGATATACAATACGTGATAGCACTGGTCGATCGACAGATGTCTAAAGCGATAAATCAGTATCTCAGATTGTGTTATGGGGAATCGTGGCCCGTTTGATCCGTCAACGCTATTGGAAGCAGCCGCGAGACAGAACCTGGCGATTTTTCGCCAGGCATGCACCGCGTGCAGCACGCATGGCATCAAATCAGCTATAAAGCCCATCTTGTTACTACGTTCTCCGCCGCGTCCTTCCATTCGTCCCCTGACTGAGCACACTCGTGGTAACCCAATTCCCTACCATGGGGGATATGCAGGCCGTCTCTGGGCAGCGCAATGCCGATATTTCCAACTCGCTGTATGCTTTGCACGCCAGACAACTTTTCGATGTCATCGATCAGATCCGCGATAGCGGAGGTGAACACCATTTGGATCTTCCACGGATTGTGGTCATTGGCGTGCGTGTCCATCAATTCACCACTGCGAATACTAATTGTATACCCAGAATCAATCTGCTGGGAAATCCTCCTTGATTGAAGCCATTGCTGGGGTATGTGCGGCTACGGTGAGGAAACACAGAATCCTCACATTTCTCCAGATCAAGGTCCCTCGAGGTTCTGGAACATGCACCCGCTGTCCAATGGAAGTCCGCTTGCATCGAAAGAATGAGCCGTGGAGGTGTTCTATCCGTCTACGGTATGAATACGACGAATACGGCGAGAAGCGCGACGATCCTTTGAACATCAATTTCGGAAACGACATTGTCGACCCAGCCAAGGTCGATATCATGCTGCGTCGCGCACAGCTAGCCATCCTCAACGATGAAGACAACCCTGGGAAGTTCGTCGACATTGATCCAAACAATATGGCGGTCTCCGACTCGCAAAGGCAGTTCTCCAGGAATGTCGTGTGTATCGAAGTTTTCGGTCCAGATCTTACGGACCTTACGTTTGTTGACCTTCCCGTAAGATCCGACAGCCACATAAGAGTCAGGCTCACCTAATGCAGGGGATCATCCAACATCATCCTACAGATCCGGGTCTGGTCAATGTGATCAAGGGTATGGTCAAGGCGTATATCGCTGGTTCTTCAGCGCTGATTCTGTGCACCATCACGATGAAGGGTGTGTTCGCATGCAATATTCGATGGGCAGACTGACACTCAGCCGTAGATGATCCTGAGAACCAGGCAGCGTTGAGCGAAGCCAAGACGGCAGATCCTCACGGGGCGCGAACCATAGGTGAGCCGATTGCATTGTGCGTTTGCCCGAAAATAAACGTGAGCTCACTATTCAAAGGTGTCCTGACGAAACCAGACACCCTGCAACCTCAGGAGGAGGGGCTGTGGATAACTGTGCTCAAAAACGAAGGATCGCATCGCCTGAACTTGGGATACTACATCACCAAGCAACCAGCTCAAGCGGAAGTCGAGCAGGGCATTTCGTTTGACATGGCGCGACAGAACGAAGTATCCTTTTTCGAGACCACGGAGGCCTGGCGTGCATTGCCGAGTAGCATTCGACAGACAAATGTGAGCACTCCACGACTGACAGCAGCGTTGAGCACCTTGCTATCAAGCCATATACGGAAGTCGTAAGATATTTTCAATCCTTACGCAGGATCTGAGATTCACAGAACGTTCTCTCAGTCTTCGTGACATCACCGAGAAGGTCCACCGACTGCTGAGCGAGACTCAACGAGACCTGAGATCCCTCGGAACTGGCCCGTCCAATAATCCAGTTGCAGATATAATTGCCCTCTGCGATCGCTTTACTGGTATACTAAGGGCGTACATCGTGGGAACCGAGGACTCTGAGTTGCTGATTCAGGATAATAAGAGGGCGTTCAGCCGCTTCAAAACTTCCATTCGCGGCACTGCACCGGTCTTCATCCCCTATACGACAGTCGAACGTAAGTGGAACGAATACACCGAACCGACCCATATTCTCGAGGACGTTGCAACCGAGGACAATGGTCATACTTACGATCTCGATATGGTTCGAAAACATATCAATAAGTGAGTAGAACAAATGATTGGATTCCCCTCATTAATTCTTCCGTTACAGTGCGAAGACTCGTGAACTGCCTTTCAACGTCCCATATGCTGCGAAAGTGCAGATGATGCTTCTGCCTATCAAACGATGGCAGACTCTCATCGACGTCTGCTTTGAAGCGATAGTCCCGAACGTCAGATCACTCATAGAGAAAACAATCAAGCAAGTGTTCGGCGAGTACGCGGAAACCGGACTTCTGGGTCGGGTTAAGTAAGCAAATTTTGTGTCGCTCTTAGCCCAGATCGCTCAATCGCAATACCTGTCAGGGATATTGTCTCCAATCAATTGATCGAGCGGGAGAACGCAACGCAAATTGCGCTCAAGCTTCTGTTTGACATGGAAGTCCCAGGTCCTTATACACAAAACCATCACTACTTTTCAGCTACCCGGGAGAAGCTGGTAACCCACTATAGGCAGAAACGAAAGGAACGAGAATCAGCACCCACTCGCCCGACGTCGGCCTGGGGCCTCGCTCCAAGTGAATATGCATCTGGGCCAACTACCTCTCGCTCTACTATTATCAATCAGGTCATCAGCGGCCTCGCAACGCTCGGTTTTCAAGGTGTGACGGAAAGCGACTTTGGGAAGCTCGTCATCGAGGATGAATGGGAGGAAGAAATCACCGTCATGGCGGAAACGCGTGCCTATCTGCAGGTGTGTGGTGTCCTTTCTCGAACCTGACCGGCAACCTAATATAAATATTAATCTAGGTTGCCTACAAGGTGAAGAACATTTTATCTGCTCTTTGCTATACTAATCATAGAACAGCGTATCATTGATTCCGTACCGCAGGCGATCGACTTGGTCTTCATTCGCCCACTCGCAGACACGCTACACACCGCGCTCATCGCTGGGCTGCAATTCGATTCCCCCAGTGCACACGAACTCTGCCGCGCCTACCTAGCTGAAAATCCAGCTAAAGCAGCGGAGCGGGTTCGACTCCTTGCGGACAAGGAGAGACTGGAACGGGTAAAGGAAACCCTAATGCGTATTGGGTTGGGTCATTGAGCTCTATAAGTGTAAGGGAGGGGAGCCGTGGGAATGGGAATTGAGCTAGGAAATCCTTGCCCGAGAGCATGTGAGCTGCCGGGGCACCAAAAGCTACTTCTGGTGTATGGCAGCTTGTTCTATTTGACTTGGAATGTCAAAAAATAGAAGTAGAGGGCACATGCTTGTGCGCAATGCAGTCTTTTGTTCGCCATACATGCCGAGCCAAAGGAACGGGCAGCTTAGCGGATACGGCTACGTATATGACAGCGAGTGTGTATTTATTTCGCTCCTGCGCCAGCACGGCACCAGCAAAAGAATCGATCCTGATGATGATGATCCGGCGGGGGCCGCGATGGGAGCGATAGAACATTCCCAGCTTCGGCCGAGCGTGAAACCATGCACGACCAATCAATCAATCGTTCAACAATGCATTTCTAGTAAGACAACAGAACACGTACGTACAGCCTCGACTCGGTAGGAGCAGCGTTCTGGTCTGCATATAGTACACCGGCCCACCGTCCTGGGTAACGATGGATGGGGTGGATAAGATGAGCGGGATAGGGGTGAGGGCAATGTATGCACGGGAAAAGGGGAAGGACTAGCCAGACGACTCGTGTATGCGCTTCGACTAACGCCACGTCCAATGCTCCACTCGGTGCGGAGCTCGGCTATATGAGGAGACGGCTGTACAAGGGATTGAGAGTGTGGACAGAACGATGAAAGGGAATAGGATTGCCCATGACTGGGTGTTCGTCGTGAGGATGCTGATCTCGATCAGATGTGGGATATATGCGCACCATATTCATTCGTCGTCTTCTTCCGCCGCGAACTTGTGCTTCCCCATTGACGTGTAGGATGTCATGCCCTTTCCTGAGCCAGTCACGCCGACTAGATGATCATAAGCATGAGCAGTAGGAAGAGCAGAAGACGCACCTCTCCCAAGCGGGTTATCCGGGCTCTTGAATATACTCCTACCGGACATACCGGCAATCTCGATTCCCTTCTTCTCTGATTTCTTTGCAAACTTCATCCATGCCTGCTGCTTATCCTGCTGCTCCTTTGCCTTGTGTGCGCGCACCTCTAGCTTCTTCTCGTTCCGCTTCTTCTTGCGCTCCCTTTCCTCCTCTTCCTCCTTCGAAAGCTTGCGCTTGGCATCGTTGTGCGGATTCTGCCAGGGCTGGGTCGACGTGGACGCACGGATCTCGCTTGCTTTGACGATCTCGGTCTCTGAATAACCCTTGAAGAGCACCGTATATACGCGATTCGACTCGCTCCCTCCAACAGCGATGATCTTGGCTGGGTACCAGTGACCGTCACGAGAGTATTTGGCATCCACGTCGCCGCCGGGCTTGAAGTCCGCTTGTGGAATGGCGCGCACTCCGGTGGCAGCTTTGGCAGCAGAAGCCTTTGCTCGTGCCGCTGCGATCGCTTCTTGAGCAAGTGCCTTTTGTGCGAGGTCGATCAGCTCCACGATTTCGGTACGAAGAGACTGGAGTTCTTCATTTTCTGCATCTTCTTCGAGGACCGCGTTGACCTGAGCAAGTTGTGCCTGATACTGCTCAAGCTCTTGTCGATCCATCGGTTACTTTGAGTGGATAAGCCGGTGAGGTCGGGAGGAGAGTAAGGGGCGTAAATGATGAAGCGGCTTGTGACCGGTAGGCGGGCGTGGGAAGGGTGGGAACGGACAGGGCCGTGTATGGTCGGGATAGAGTGATTAGTGCAAGGGCACGCTGGAGTGCGCACGGACGTCCCATCGACAACGGAATTGGAATAGGATTGCTGCCGTGATTAGGCAGCGTGGCCATCTGATCCCACGGTATGACACAACCACCCAACACTAGATTAGAGGCACTGCCCCTCCGGGAAGCAAGAATGAATAGACGTGCGCCTAATTTGGGCCTTAGGGACTGAAACTTTGTAGTGGGTTAGCCTAATTTGAGTTTCGTAAGATCATTACATAATGGACATGTGTGGCAGCTCACATGGCGGAAATCTCCGCTCCGGAACGGTCGACCGATTGCCCGTTTTGTTCTTAGCCCCCAACTTCGACGCTCCAGCCCTGTGTGCGCGCAGCCCGGCGGTCAGAACCGGTAACGAGGGGACATCACAAGCCCCACGCTTTGTACGGTTTCTTCGGATTGATCGGCATCTGCAAGGAATAGAAAGGGAATTGAATATTATTCAGATATTTCGGCGGAGTCGGCGTTAAGTCCCATCATGTATTTTTGCCGATTTCTGAATTGATTTTCTCAACTGACCGTAAACCCGGCGGAGGCCGTGTTTCCTCCCTCGCCGCCGGTGCTCTTCCCACGTTATCGCAAGCGTGTGTTTAGGGCTTGTACACTTGAAACTTCTTCTTCGCCACATACACCCTTCTCTCTCGGCCCTTTCTCTTCTCTTCTCTCTCTTTCTCCTTCCCTCCTCCGACGTTCCCTCTCCACTTACCCCGTGCTGCACGCTCTTCTCCCTCTTCTTATAAGCTAATTAAGGCGACTCATCCTTGATATAGTCCACATTGCACCGGCCCCTTGGAGGCACGCCCATCGCTTCGATCGCTTACTCTCACCCGCTTCTTCCCGGCACGCAGGGAGCGTGGGAAGCCGGTATACTCTTGCCGTTAGCTCAGGTTCTATCTTCTGCCCTTGTTCCTCTTCCAGTTGACACACGATCACGCCCTCCCCTTGCGGAACACACGGATTGAAATCTCGGCCGGCTGGTCCCCTTTCCCTTCAATTAGGCGCGGAACGAATTTCACGTGCTCCCCCGACCTCCGGCATAAGGTCAGTCAGCTCTCGAACGCTCCCGCGGCGTAAGATGCAATAACAAAACGCTCGCCTCCGCACCCGTTTCAATACGATTTGTCTATCTTGTTCTCTCACTGGTCTCACGCTCTGCCTCTCTTTGGTTCACGCTCCTGCACAATCTTTTTCTCGGAAAACCCCGAGTCATCATCTGGAACTCTTCTTGGTGATCTCTGCATTCGGCACAACTCTTTGTCTTTGTTTTCCGACCCTCTCTTCTTCGAACTGCGAACCCTCAGGAACGCTCCGGAACCGTGCTGCCAGGTCTGCAATTTGTTTTCTTACCTTTACACTCGCACTACAATGTCTTCTCCTCCCACCTTCTCATCCATTGACCCGGTCCGAGGCCCTCCCCTAACCCAGCTGGATCCGGTCGGATCAAGGTCCTCGAAACATAAGCCTTGGGGCGTACCGTCTCCTGCGCCCACATGGTCGGACCATACGGCCGGACCGAATACCTCTCCTGCACATAGCCCCATGCATCAATTACTCACGCCTCCAGCAGATCAGCGAACACCACAACTAGCTTCCTCAAGTTCCCTAGACCGTTACCTCTCATCCGGCCGTTCTCCAGTAGCGGCTTCCTCATCTTCTGCATCGATCACTGGCAGGCCAGCAGGCCGATTTCAAACCCTATCACCGCCTGTATCTAGATCTGCATCTGGATCTGCTGCCCACGCGAGCCGTTCTCAAGATAACACCACGGGCGACTCAGAGCCCTTGTCCGCCCGCCCGGGCGTGTCCGCACACCGCCATGGGAGCGGGAGCACGTCAACACGACCCGCTGGCTTCCCATCGGTGCCCGAGCTGTCTGGCCCCTCCGCCCCTCTTGTCCTCCAATCTCCAGCACGCGAGCCCCTCGTGTCTGTATCCGAGTCGCCATCACGCAGAAACGCATACAGTAGTTCAGCGCCTGTCAATCTTTCTCCCCCCCAGGCAGCCTGCCTAAGATACCCGCTCTACCTGGAGCGCTCCGCCTCCCCGGTTCCGGTGCCGGCTCAGGTGCAGCTCCAGGACCCTGGCTCGGACATTGACGATCCCTCAGAAGCAGCTTCGGCTCACTCTTACCAGTCCATGTTTCAGGTCCAGCTCACCGGCAGGAGCGGCAGCACAGGCGAGAGCTCCCGAAGTCAAAGGCACCCGTACACAAAGTATATTACTGATGATGAAGCAATAGAACAGGCTAGGGTAAGCGCGCTAACGTTTATCTGTGGACGATGTAGTCATAAATTGTAGGGACAGAAGCGAAAACCCAGTTATACCCACACCATCTCAGACGATCGACATAACAAGATGCGCCGATCTGCTGAAGCACGACTCTCTGGAGGCAGTTTCCCAAACTACACCACCTCCCAATCCCAAATGCCAGTTCAAAAACGACCTGATCCGATGGCCAACATGATCACGATCACTTGCTTTCATCCCATAGTGGCTCAGAAATCGTACGGTGCGGAGAAACGTTATTTCAGCCCACCACCTTTCGTGGCCATCCGTGGGCCGTTGCAGAACGCGCCGTCTCAGGCACTCGAGATGAACGTCATCACGGGGCGTGAGAGCGGCGGGTCAGGAGACGTCGAGTCTACACAGACCCAGTTCTTGGATGGAAACTTCATCGCCACCTTCCGTACTCTGCACGTTGGTGGCATGTCAAACCGGAAACGCTGCCAGCTCCGCCTCACCATTTCGGACGCATCAACATCAGATGTACCAGAGACGGTCGACGCACTCGCCAGCAGGCCGTTCATGGCTCCACAGAATCCTTTCTACCTGCTCCCGATGAGCGTACCAACCGGTGCAAGGAAGTGGGCGACATTCCTCTCCGCTCCTATCGCGATCCTCTCCAAGCCTGCGAAACACATGAAATCGCATGATCCAAGCAGCATCACATTCGGAAGTACGGTCAGCCTATATCACAGACTCAACTCGCAGACGGCGCGAACAAAGTACGTGCATATCAACTCCGCCCGGCGAATGCTAGAAACGAGTGGTGCCAGCTGGACGCCACTAGTGGTGGAGAGAGTGGACACACCTGCAGGTCCGGGTCGACCTGGCGGACTCAGCCTTCCATACACTGCCCCGAGCTTTGCGGAAGGCTTTGGCTCACTCCCAGATCCTGACCCGTCTCTCCACACGCCCAGAATCGCACCGCTTCCTCAGATCCTGGATGTTCGACGTCTTGAGGTGCTCGCTCCGGTGACGTTCAATAGCACGATCACCCTGTTTGACCCACAAACTGGTGTGCGATCGCCGCCACTCATTATCAAAAAGGTGGTGAACGGGCACATCAAACCGGATGAACCTTCATTCGGCGACCCCTTGGATCCTCTCAACCATCTCGGAGCTAGCTCTACGTTGAGGCCTCTCGAGCCTGTTGGCCAGCTGCAAAAGGTGGCGTTCATGCGACCCCCGCAAACGTATCCCCGCGGTCGTGTTGCAACAGGGACGGAGCCGAACATGTACTGGGGAACACCTCCAGACAGCGATGAAATGATGTTTGGCACTCCGATACAAAGTGGTCGGCCAGCGAGAGCATACAGGCCAAGATCAAGGAGATTGGCGGCTGCGATGGAGTCTCAATCTCAACCGGAGGAGCCTGATGAAGGACTGGAAGAGCTGGATGATGCGGTGGTATGGACCATCGTCTCAGTCAGTAAGTGTTTTACTTTTTTGCATTTTCTGCCTCTCAATGATCATCTAGCGAACTTCAAGTATAGCTACTTCGCGTCTGATCCTGGCAGGGTGATCCCTCCCGAAGTGGCCGCCGCTTCAGTGACCCCCTTCCCCGCTCTCCGTCAAGAGCCCTTCTATCGGCCCCAGATGCACGCGCTGCAACTTCTCGTAGACGACTTTGACCAGTCTCTGGAAATCTGGGTGGGGTCATTTGGCCCTCTACGGGTGTCCCTGCTGCGACAAGGCACCGATCAACAAACGAGGAAAATGTACGATCCAAGAACCTGGTTCGAGGTGAAACGGCCTCCTGTGGATCAGCCAGCCGCTGAATTCGCCATTGGCGGAGGCAGTCTGCCCGAACGGACCGCTTCTTCCGTCTCACCGACCGCGTCGCCTGACGCACAAGCCGGATCAAGCAAGACCGGGCCAAAGCCACTGCGGGCTAAGATTCCCCCGGCGCTGGATGTCGCCAAGCCACAGACGGTGTTACAAGTTGACCTTCCGCCAATTCTGCACCTTGTACGCTCATGCTTCAGAAACGAGCCCGCAGGCAACGCCGTAACCGACTTGCCGATCATCTTTATGCGCACTCTGGACGGGACTGGCTTCCACAGTGGAAAATCGATCGTGGTGGAGAACATCTTGGGGGAACATTGTAGTAGAAACGACGTTGCGGGATGGACAGTGCGGGTCGTCTCGCGTTGATGAAACGGCAGTAAAGATAAACCGTTCAATTGTACCAGTAGCTCTCCGTGCATTTGTTTTTATTGTCTCCGTGCTTACGAGGGAACATGGGAACATGTGCCTGAATCGGACACGGAAGCAAACATCAAGAACTAAATATATAAAAAAGCGGAAAATAACTAATTGAGACATGCTGTGATCTATCGGCCTGCTCTGGGCACGGCAACATGAACTAAATGAATACAGTAGTCGGGCTAGGTATTAAGATCTTCGCGATGGAGGGGAGGGATAGAGTAGAGAGATGGGGATGGGATGATCTATGCTACATCTTTTTAGCGACGGCAGTGTCGAGCTCAGGCTGGCAAGGCGAGAGCGAAGTCAATCGGCGCCCACAGGGATCTGGCCCTCCCACCAAGTCCCGGAGGAACACTGCGTCAATGGCGGCTGGTTAAACACCGTCCCCGTGCCCACCCTTCCCGTGCCAGTGGTGGGGATCAGACATCCAGAAGTGAGCAGACCGATCTGTCCCAGAGGGGCCTCGCTAGGGGAAGGGACGGTGCTTGCGCTGCTGGCGGAAGCGCTAGAGAGCAGGGGAGTGTCGAGGGAGACACTTGTCGCTGCGGAGAGGGAGCTGACAGAGCCGCAGGAGCCGATAGAACCCGTTGAGTGGATGGAGTTGACGGAATTGACAGAGTTGACAGAGCCGATCGAGTTGACAGAGCTGTTGGAAGTAGTAGACAGGGTAGACATGACAGACTCGACACTTCCCCTTCTCATGTCTTCTTTTGTGAATGGGAGGGAGGGAGCAAACGCCTGGGAGCGACTCATCCCGCCGAGGGAGTTCACCGAGCTGAGGTTGAGGGAGCTGAGTGTGGGCTGGGAGGGGATGAGCGCGTGGGAAGCGTTCATCGTCGCGCGCAGTTGGTTGATCTGCATATATGTATGAGCAAGGTACAACCTACTTCGAGGCGGGAACTCGAGCAGAATAGACAAGAGAAACAGGGGCTGACGATGATAAATGGGGCGACAGAATGAGGGAAAGACAGCATATATGCCAAGCATGGGGAAATAATCCAATACACGAATGCAGGTCAAGGGGAGGATTGCAGAGAACACAACTCACCTCGCGCACCAATTCCTCGTATTTCCTGTGAACCGTGTCCAAGTCCAGTTGCTGAGCTTGGATAACTAGCTAAGTAGACAGAATTCAGTCGTTGTTTCTGGGAGAGAACAGCGCGTACCTTTGCACTATCAAGCGTCATGGCGCCGCACTCGTTGACCCCCTCCAACCCACAGGGCCTCATTCCAAACCCGAGGATCTGCCGCTTCAGCCGCTCGAGGTTCCCTTCCAACGCGCGGGTGTACGCTTCCGACGCTAGACGCTTTTTCCTGTATACCGCGGGAGAACAGGACGAGCGGAGCAAAGAGGACGACGAGGGAAAGGACGAATAAGATGTCAGCGACAGGAAAGGCGTGCAACAACAGTACAGAAGACGTACGTAGGTCGACCTCCAGACGCAGGAGACCGCCTCTTCCTCCCCTTGCCTCCTCTTGGTCCTACCTGGTCCGCACTGTCCTCCGCCTGCCCATCCAGCTCAGGCTCCTCAGGCTCTGCAGGCTCGAGGTCTGCTTGATCCTCCTCTGCGCCACAGTCGCTCAGCGACCTAGGGGACCTTCCACTCCTCGTCCCCGCTTCACCCTCCCCAGCCCCAGCAGCCCCAGCAGCAGCAGAAGCAGAAGGAGCCCTCCAGCCCCTCCCCACCGGGCCCCCAACCCGCCTGATAGGCGTCTGGTAGAGTTTTGCCGGTGTCCACCCGGAGCTGCCTAGCGGCGCTTGAGCTTTGTTGCGTTTTGTGGTATGGGGGATGGGGGGGACGCTGTTTGTCGGGAAGGGATGAGGGTGGGAGTGGGAGTGCAGGTGGGTGGGGAACCCCTGGTCGTTGGCCCCAGAGAGGATCGCACCGGGACCGTGTGTAGCCGGTACAGGGGGTAGAGGCGGGAGGCCATTTTGGAGGGCATATGTCTGGGGGTCGTCGATCGCTCGAAGGACGGAGTTGGTCTGCTGCTGTGGGGGTTGGACGTAGTGGTGCATCTCTGTCTGTGGGAGAGATTGGGGGTAATGCTGAGGATGCTGGGAATGGGGCGACTGTTGTTGCTGATGATGATGATGAGTGGACGATTGCTGCTGCTGCTGCTGAGGGGAATGCCTCTGTTCAATATGGGCAGCGTTGAGAGCGTGTTGATGGTGTTGCTGTTGATGATATGTCGAGTGAATATGTTCCTGAGCATGAGTGATCTGCTCCAAATCATGTCCATAGTGCACGTGATCATGAACAACGTGAGCCTGATGCGGTTCGTGTTGCTGGGGATACTGCAACTGAGCATGATGTTGCAACACAGCGCCATCTTGTATGCCGTCATACCCCGCTAGTCCCGGGGGTGCGCTCGCTGGACCCCCCATCGCCTGCTGAGGGATGTCGACCTTTATCCTCGCCATCTGCGGTTGTAGAGGCACATCCAAGTAGCCATTAGACAGAGGAGGGAACGTCGGAAAGCAATAGGTCTGCTGTTGTGGATAGGTGAGCGGATACTGAGTGAGGCAAGGCCAGTTGTCGCCGTCGGAGTGATGAGATGAATGGGACATCATACCGCTATGAGACAGGGTGAGACATGAGTGTGATTATCCAACCAATGTTATATACCCTCACAGGTCTAAACCACCTTCCTCTTCCTCGGTTCACATCGTACCACCTCCCATGAGGGCCGGCGGTGAACGGGCTGAGATAGCAGAGATGGATGGGGAGTGGCCCCACCTTGTTCCATCTGATCAGAGACAGAGTCGGCGATGTCCGTTCCACAGATGGCCACTTCACTCCCTCAGAGCGAGAAGTACAGGCACCCACAATCTCACTCAAACACCTGACGTCACCTGCGTGCAAAGGCACACAACAGGCCCCGGAACCACGTGTTCCCCTCCTCTACAAGTCGTTGTTCGGTTTACGTACTCGCAAGCAGGACGTCGATGGGCACGCCTCGGCGCTTGCACACCTTCTGATCAAGCATGCTTCGTGTGACAGTGCATGCTTACCGTGTGACTGCTCATGCTCAACGGCAGGTGCAGCACGGCGCGAGTACTGAGCTCTACAATCTCGATACAGCCTCTAGATCGGTGGGAGGCGAACGCCGACGCTCCCGACGTTCGATCCCCAAGACAAGAACCCAGTGCTCAAGCACTTCTGTGCACCTGAGAGAGGAGGAAGACGGAGAAGCGTGCGCCGAGCCCAGGTGTCCCAGGTGTCGGCAGGCGCCGTCTCTTAGATACGCGGGCTTCTGGTTCTTTGATTATACGGCGAACGGAACGGCGTGGCGCTCATTAGCGGGGAAGAGATCGAAATCCAGACCGACGAGACCTAGCAATACCAGGGAGCAGGAAGACTAAAGGCCAGACCAGCGAGTAAGCAAGACCCATGCAAGACCAGTCATGAGGGACCGAGCAGCGAGAAACGACTGATGATCACCCGGAGGCAATCGCTGGATATGGAGGTCGCGTGACCGCCATGTCAATCAGCTGGTTGAATTTGAATAGTCCTAGTGTGCTTTTATCACTGGGACGATAGTTGTTATTCACCCTCCAACAACTCAGGGTCTCAAGGCTGGACCGTACGCCCTGTCCCAAATTCAAGACCGTGGCTCATCAGCAAGATTAGAATCATGAGCGTAGGGATCGAGATCCAGACCAGACCCTCTCATAAGAGACATTCGCTATCCGGCACCGAGCAAGGGACGACAAGAGCCTGGCAGAGGATTGGTCGGGACCTCAGTGACTGTCGTTGTCTCAGACGGGATAACCTGCATACCGGACCTGTTGTCTCAGCTACATGCCTGGTTGTGACAACTTGAAGCGCCCCAGTCGTTGCAGACGGCCAGCAACACTCTACCATAGCCCAGATCGCAACAGCCAAGAATCCCCAGCGGACCCTGCATGATACCAATATCCGTATCTCATGCCGTGGTTCTCATTTCAGCACAAGGGAGTGGGACAATGTGGCCTCGTCATCGGACACGAGGGAATCATATACAGGGTACCGTAGACAACGGATGAGAGGCGTAGGGATCGAGATCCTCCCTACCGAGAGCGAACAAGCCGAGTGCACCTCAGGCTGGCGCAGAACAGCAGCAACGAGAGGAGCGAAATTCCCATGGTCCGAGTAAGAAGGAGACATCTTGGGGCGTTTCAGGCGCGGTTCGATAGTCTATCATTCGGAGGCTGTCGAACTACGATGTCAGACCGGGTGAGCTTGCGTTTGCTCTGGGAGCATGCCGTAAGTTGGACGAGTCCTCATGCTACGTCCTGCGCTCTATTACAGCCGTAGCTGAGGAGTCGCTGCAACGGGTACAAGCTCTCCCAAAGAGCCGGCCCAGTCCCCAAGCCCTAGCCAGGTGTAGCGGTATCACCGGCAGAAAAACAGTTCCTTCAACCGCGTCTACCGGTACTTACCGGATTAGCCAGTCCGGCCCGTCAACCCGCAAGATCTCAGCCCCACATGCCCCGTGTACCAATTTCCCACTTCTTCCCGTTCTCCCGTCCCTCGGTTTCCCAAGTCTATCGGACCTGACTGGGGATCGCGCCTGCCGGCGGTAGGGCGGTGTCCGTCCGGTCGGGTGACTGGGTGTGATGAAATGCCTTGGACTTGCGGTGAGGGACGAGGTGATGAGGATCAGCTATGATGGGGTATTCTGGAATATAAAGAGTCGTAAACTCGTGGTGTGATGTTCAGTCGTTCACGAGCGTAACACGGACACACCGCACCCTCCGATCGAAGAGGTGAGTCTAGACCCTTCCGTCATCCACGCATTCTGAGGCATTCCCAGCCCTGAAGAAGCCGCGAACCATTCCAACGGACGCTAATATCAGGAATCTGAGGGTCAGGGTCTAAGTTCAGGTCCCACCGATCTCTACTCCTGGTCGTCACTGGCACGCTGTGGACATGCTTGTTGCTCGGGCTCTTGTTTGAGATCTTGGATGATAAGAGGTCATGTCCGCCGCCCGCTAGCAGCAAGTAGTGCCGTAAGCCGTCCGGGCCGTGCGTTGCCAAAATTCTGTCTCAGTCTACCGTCTTCAGAATCCTCAGAATCCTGCACCGGCCAGCAAGCCGCGCTCGATCGTGCCCTGGGTGATTGTGTGATCGAATGGAAATCCACTGGGACATCGAGTGATCGAGTGATGATATCAACCATTCCCAAGTGTGGTTGGGCTCATGACCCAGATCATCAGTACTCACAAGTCACATGCATTATGTAATTGAAGTGTGTGATATATACAATGAATACTGCTAGGCTACTGTAGTCATATTACCATCTATCGTTGCCAGGACAGCCTTCCTTCTGTCGACCAACCTCGGGGGGACGACTTTGTTGTATGTCCTGATGACCCGGGTAATGCGGGCTGGTCCCAGTCAGTTAGTGTGCAAGAACATTGCACCTCTGTCAAGTGCTTGTATTATATTGCCCTCGCATTTTCTATCGGTCCTTAGTAAAAACCAATAGGAAATGTGAGTTGAACTGCTGAGAATTTACCATCTATCTATGGTCCAGTGTCATAGTCAAAGTAAATATAGGTCACATGAGCCTTGCAACAGGGAAAGACCATCTGGTGTGTTCTTGTGCACCAGTAGGATGGTAGGAGGAGGAATGGAGGTCTGGGCCTGGTGATACTTATTGGGCGCTTCTTCGACCGTTTGGACGTCTGCTATGGCGGGGAGAAATTGAACAGATGCGGTAGACGAAGCAAGGGGACTTAGAAATACAGATTTGAGAGCTATTTACGGGATTGGTAAGAATGGTCGTGTGATCAAGGAGGGAGACAGCGGCGTTGGGGAGATCGAACATATCCTCCGATCGAGTGACGGCAAATCAACAAATTCGGACATCATCCCCTCTAAACGGGTTCTGTGGCGTCTCTCTTGGATATCTGATACGTGGTAACCCAGGACTAGCACGGGGGAGGGCGCCATCCGCTTGGATCGGACAAAGGTTCATTGTTACCAACGCCATGGTAAAACGTAATGATGTGTTGAACGCTGAACACACTTCTAATCCGCGGAGGACGGTGTCCCCGGCGTTGGTCCGTGCCTTCACCGTCTAATCAGGCCAAAGCTGTCGCTACTTTGGATATTTTCTCTTTTCCCTGAGATCGTTGCACACCTGTGTTGCGGAACGGTCCAGATCTGAGGTAGGTGAATGAACATTAGAATATCGTTACAAGTGTGGCGTAAGGAAACAATCGTAATCTAAGCACAATATAGGAATATCAATGTTGGGTCAGGTGTGTAGGTCTAGCCAGAGAGCAAGTTACACCATCTCCTTCGGCTTCTCGCCGCCCTTTTCGCTTGCAGTTGAGCTCTCTTCTTCCTCAGCGGCTTCCTCAGCCTCCTCGATCGCCCGCCGTTTCTCGAGCTCTTGGTCGACGAAGCTCTCCATCTCATCATTGTTCAGGTTGGGGCAGAGCGGTTTCAGGTAATCAACCCTGAGTTCGGTACGTTCCAGTTTCCCATAGAGTTGTGCGGTCTCTGCCTGCGACTCGGCCATCGCCTGCTTCACACTGTTGATAATTGACTGGTTCTTGAGCTCGATCGAGTGCGCGATAGCGTGGATCGCACGGATGATCTTCCATAGTCGGAGAACGATGAGCGCGGCAGGACTCGACCCAGACTTGCCGTTGTCTGCGAACTTGAAGAAGACTTCCATGATCAGCGATGCGAAGACGACCAAGGCATCGATCGCGTAGAGCGGCTTGTAGAAGTGCGATAGACCAAAGGCGAAGAACGAGGCGAAGATTTCGAGGGTGAAGATGCAGAGCAGGAATACGGACAAGGCCCAAAGGAACCAATCGGCACCGGTGAGTGCGGTAGACTCGTGCAGAACACAGCTCAGCGACTCTGGCGGGTTCAGGATACCGTGACTGGCGAAGAAATCGAGCTGGTCGTCGGTGTAGCAAGACAGGGTGAGCAGGGAGAGAGTGAGATCGAGGAAGACGGCGATAAGATCGAGGATAACCAAGCCGATGATTGTGTAGTGGAACTTGTCGTTATGCAGCCAGTGCCGCATGTGGTGACGGAAGTGCTGTACTTTGCCCATGAATGTGGAAGGTGCGTGGGATGCCTTGGAATGACCGGATTTGCCCGTGCGAGTTGTGTGACCACTCTTGCCGGAATGTAGACTCGCTTGGTACTTCGCCTCAGGTTCAGGTTCCTCTGCGTCCCAGACGTTCGCAGCGTTCTGCTGTTCGAGCTGGTCGACAACGTCTGCTAGTGTCTCCACGACTGTTGAACGACCTGTACCACTCGTGCGAGCTGTGTAGGTCGTGTGGATCGTCCTTGGGGAGTATGGGGTGTTGGGGACGCTCCAGTGCACATTATTATTGGTCCGCTCTGTCCGTGCTGTCCTTGGCGGGCTGACTACGCCCTCTTCACGTGGCGGTACGATGACATCCTGTGCATGAACAGGGAGTATCGGGGAGTTGGGCTTTGACATTCTAAGCGTTGAACTGTCGTTAAGGGTGTGCAGGGGACAAGCAGTGGGTCGTTAGACAGGGGGGATGACAAGTGGGTGGGTAATGAGCCCTTGGGTATTTTCAAGCACCATTATCCTGCGGTATATATCCCTCTGGGCGTTTTGCATGTCGCCTAGATGGTGTAACAAGGAGTGATAGACTTGACTGCCAAGATCAAGGACGTGAGGTGGGAAGAGCAGAGCCTGCGACGTGCCCCGACACCGCCCTCTACCCCGAGTATAGCCACAGTCATTAGAATGTAGACTGGGCAGACGGCGTTGTCATTCTTCCTTGACAACCCCGATAATGCTATGTATACATGTATACATTGATCAGTCCAAGTAGTACATCCATCTAGACGTTTCATGTTGTTGTATACGCCCAGTACAAAATGGATGTTGCCGAGCACCGCTTCCCGCGCCGACGTACGGAGATGATCACCTCATTACATTGATCACCCCACTCAGGAACGTCTTCATGCAATTATTCAAATACAGCGGTCTATCGGCACCACAGAAATCGGCTCACTGGAGGAACGTGGGCATTAATATTCTTCTGTGGAATAAGTGGAACCAAGCCTTTGCAGTTCTTCCTTCACGTTACAGCTCAGTGGAAACTCGGTCGCCGAATCTTGGCAAGCTCCTCATGAGTTAATCAGAAGAAGCTTCCTGAAACGTCTAATGTGACTGGATGGTTTAGAGCAATATATTCCAGATGTACGGGCATCCGGAGATGACGGATAGAGAAGGGAAGACTGTTTTGCATCCCAGGAAGTCTGACACATAGTGATACAACAATGCTATTGTCCAAAATGTACACAGCAACAACAAAACTAACATCACTGCATCGCTCGCTGCTTAGCTTCGGAAGCCGATATGCTCGTTGTGCTACTCTCGCACTCTCACATCTTCCATCATCCTGGCTGTACAGGTTTTGTCGACCTGGGGAAAAGGATGCGCATGCGTTTCATCAATAACATGTGCACATAGGAGAGACATGAACATGGAGAAGATCATCTGGGGCAGCGTTGGATTGCCTCCAGGAACCGACAAGGTGTGACTATCAGGCGCACCGGAAAGAATTCAATACAACTATACAGCATCAATAACGTACAATCGATCCGTCAATGAAGTGTAATGAGCCCAAGCATCACCAAAAATCTCCCGAATTGATACTGCTCCTCACGTCCTGCTTCTTCTTGCTCCCCTTTGCCCTTCCCACCTTGCGCGCCCCACTGCCCGAGCCGGAATGATACTTCGATCGTTGGCGTTGGGCACGCTTGTTGAGCTCTGTGGACACAATATGCTTAACCGGGAGGTCGTGGGGGGCTAAGTCTGATAGATGGGAGGAAGCGGGGGAAGCGGGTGCATCACCTGGCTGATCAACGTCTGGACGGACGGCGAAGCGCGCTTGACGGGGATCGTGGTGCGGTGTTTCAAGATCGTCGCCGGGAAGTTCTCCGTCGTCTTCCTTTGCCTCGTCTTCATTGACATCTCCGACCCCTTCCTCGACCCCTTCCTCGGCCGCCTTGTCGCCTTGTTCCTCTTCTTCTTCCCCTTCCCCCTCCTCTTCATCCTCTTCCCCCTTCTCTTCTTCCCCCTCCTCTTCTTCTGCCTCCTCTTCCTCCCTCACACTATCCATATACTCTTGCAGCAGTCCCATCTCCTTTCTCCCGAACCCGCTCGCAGCTACCTCCACATCAAGTTCGAACGCAGGTTCGCCCTCATCATTCAGCGCGGCCCTAAACCTGGGATAGAGCTTCGATTCATACCCAAACCGTCGGCGGAAGAATGTGCGTATACAGTCGACGTCTCGGTTGAAGTACCTATGTGTGCGTTCGAGATGAGCATGGGTGTGGGTAGGAGACCGACAGAGGCGTACCATTCAGCATTCTCATGTCCCACGCTGACCATCTGAGGGAAGTCGATCAACACCGGCTTCCCGTCCTCTTCTCGAATAAGGATATTGAACTCGTTGAAGTCGCCGTGTATTAGCCCTGCCCGTGCAAGGCGGACGATCAGGGTCATGAGGGTGCTATAAAGCTGGCCCGGGTTTGGGTGTTCCGCAATCTGACGAAGGGGGTAGGCGTCGATCAACTCCATAAGTAGAGTGTGGCGCGCTTGGTCGATTGGACGAGGAACAGGGAAACCGTGTTCGTGCAGCACCTGCGATAGTGAGCACTCAACAATGATCTATAGCCTCCTTCAAGTTACTCATACCTTCATAAATGCATATTCCTTTTGAGCGGCTAGCCGAGACATGTACATCCACGAAGCTGACTTTCTCTTGCCAAGGTAATCGCGTTTGGTCTTGATTGTGCGAAAGGATATCCGCCCTAATCTGAATAACGACTTGAGCTCGTCGATCACAGATTAAAAGGACATTATGCGCACCTATGCAACTTTAGGACCATGCTCTCACCCTCGTCGTTAGCCACCACGTAAACATCTGGTTGGTCTGGTTAGCCATACGCGCCGAGTAGCAGGTGAACCACAGCGAACCAGCTTCCTTCCCCACACCAATTTGATTCCCAACACTCCCAAGTGTTCCTCGCTTGTTCATGGCGCGCATAGCCAAGTAATCGTAGCCTCCATACGTCAACCGATAGCCATCGTCTGTCGTACCTCAGCTCCAGGTTCTCCCATAGGTGGGGAAAAAAGGGACGCACACTTGGCGTTCTGCACTTTTGCCACTAGCCCTCTCTTTGCCAAGTTTCCGATACACTTGTTTACCCCTCCTGACCTCAACCCAGATATTTGAGCAATTAATGGTGTGGGGACGACTTCATGGTTCTTTGAGCCCATCTCTGTCTAGCCGAACCTGTCAGCAGGAATCAAGCCCTCTGAAGAAATAGCGTAGTACCGCTGTGAGGACCCGGAACTCATCACTGGTTATATATCGAAGATCTGTGGCGTCTAACTTCATTTTGTGACAAGTATGGTTGCTATTGAATCATGCAGAAGGTGCGAAGATTGACAAGAGGAAACGATCATAAACTTTTGTGATCGGAAGCGGGACTCCGTGCTGGACCCTTTCAATTCACGCACGTGAAAATCTGCACCTAACCCGCAAATATTGGAATGGTGCGCGAGCATCAATAGCAACTTATCTACTACGCTGCAGAAAATACTGATCGCATTTGGTGGGAAATGTGTTGAGGATGTCCAATCAAGACTGGGATTAATGATGATAACATTTCCGAGCGAGGAGACTCTTCCCGTGATTCAGAGGTTTCTTTGTAGACTGGAGCCCTTCTCCTTCCTGCACGATACGTAGAACTTACTGAGGGTTTTCGTGAGGGTTTTCTGCTATTTACTTCTTGAGTGCTGACAACCGTGCAGCATAGATGAAACGAATATGACATTGTGATATCAATCACGTGCTGTACGCTGTCGATAATACGCTGTTTGAACGCAGCCTTCACCTATGATGGCATGTATCGAAGCGTACCTCGCAAGCGACCTGACTGAGAAGGATAATTAGAAGTATAAACTCACGGAACGGAGGTGCTCACATAGAATGGTTCGTGATCAAACCGAGACCATTGCAGCATGCTATAGGCCGACTAAGAGAAACGAGGGACGGAACAACGTTTCTCCAGAAAAAACTGTTCGAAGAAAGCCAGAACTGTTGCTGCTAGAAATTGCTATTGTAGAGTAGTGACAAGAAGTAACCGGCCGCGGGATTGTGCATTCCGGTATTGTGCATTACGGTATTGTGTCTCCTGTACAGCAGCCTGAATATAACGGCATCGCCAAGGACATATTGGTTATCCATCCGCGAGGCGTCCAAGGATGCCAGCTGCTGTGCAAATTTTCATTATTTCCTTAGGTAGGCGTGATAGAGGAACCGGTGTGTGTGCAAAGCCGGATTATCGCAGCTTGGCGGTCCCGAGAACGGGGTGCCGTTGGAATCCAGCCGAAGATAAGCCGAAATCCGCACCCGTGCTTCTACAAGGGCAGGAAAACTGCGTTTCATCGCAAGTGTTATTCAGGCATGACTGTAAAGGCTAAGACGAGCGTTGGTAGATGAATATTAAGCAAGGTTAATAAATATTGAGCCAGACAGGAACAGGGCCGCGTTGCTGTAAGAAAGGCGTTTATCAGATGGTCGGTCGAGAGAGAACGGTGGAGGCACGCGTTCGGGGAGTGACGCGAGTGGCACGTTGGTCGCCCAGTGAGGTATATGCGGCACCTGGAGAGCGGTGCCCGTCGTTCTCACACGCCAGAAGTGTACAGCGGGCGAGAGAACCTTGAGGAGAGAAAGAGAGAGACGAACCGTGGCAACGGCATCTAAATAAAAGTGTAAAGAAGGTAATCAGCCCATGCTCCGAGTAACGCGCACTTCCGCCGTTCCTAGCGCGTTCAACCTCTAGAGCATACAGCTAGCCTGACACTGATCCCTCTTCTCTTCACCCAACCACCACCATCACATCCTCCCCCTCCATCCTCACTCTACCTGCTGCAACAAAAATGTTGTCGGACGGTCTCGTCACCTCTCGGCTGGCATGGCTCTCGGGCCTGAGCACCTCCAACATCCCTGAGATCACGGAGGAGACCAAGTACAGGAGGAAGGTGAGAAACAAGTACCTGGTTGAGACGTCTCGTTCCAATGACATCTTGTTTAGACCGCAATTATTGCTACTATTGGTGTGTTTCTATCCTTCTGCAAAGGGACAGCGTGATGACTGTCGTCGTAGGCCCCAAGACCAACTCGGTCGAGAAGCTGACAGCGCTCAAGAAGGCGGGCATGAACATCGGTGCGCACCAGTCCACAGAGTGACATCAACCTCGCAGCTAACCTTTCATACAGTCCGCATGAACTTTTCGCATGGTTCCTACGAGTATCACCAGAGCGTCATCGACAACACCCGCCAGGTGTACAAGAGTGAGCCCCAAATATATGCGCATTTAGCGTCACTGATGTCTTCCCATAGATGTTGGCGGTCGTCCCCTTGCTATCGCGCTCGATACCGTACGTGTCTCCCCTCTTCCTTCGGTCGGAGGCGACTAATGGAAGCATGTCAATAGAAAGGTCCTGAAATCCGCACTGGTCTGATGAAGGGCGACCAGGATGTGCGTCCCCGATCAGCAACTCGGGAATATGGCACTGATATCGGTCTGTAGATTAAGATCCAGGCCGGACACGAGTTCGTTGTCACGGTTGACCCGAAGTATGCCGAGGCATGCGATGATAAGTTCATGTATGTGGACTACGTGAGTGTGGAGTGGCTGGGTGGAGGCGGAGGTGCTGACTATGGCGTAGACCAACCTGTCGAAAGTCACCGAACCTGGCAAGCTCATCTATGTCGACGATGGTGCGTGTCATCCATATTTGATTGTAGCGCTCCCTTATATTCTCCATAGGTATCCTTACCCTCCAAGTCCAGAAGATCCAGGGCACCTCCGTCTTCGTCAAGTCTGTGAATAATGGTACCCTGTCCTCCCGCAAAGGCGTTAACCTCCCGAAGACGCCCGTCGACCTCCCTGCCCTTTCTGCCAAGGACAAGAAGGATCTGCAGTTCGGTGTCAAGAACGGTGTTGACATGATCTTCGCTTCCTTCATCCGCCGCGCACAGGATGTGATCGACATCCGGGAGACGCTCGGGCCAGACGGCGCAAACATCAAGATCGTTGTGAAGATTGAGAACGAGCAGGGTGTGGAGAACTTCGACGAGATCTTGGAGGCGACAGACGGTGTCATGGTCGCTCGTGGCGATCTTGGTATCGAGATCCCGGCGGCACAGGTATTCCTCGCCCAGAAGATGATGATCGCGAAATGCAACCGCGCTGGCAAGCCTGTGATTGTGGCTACGCAGATGCTTGAGGTATGAGCGCATACATGGTCTCATTTGGCAATACTAACGGATTATAGTCCATGACATATAACCCTCGCCCGACCCGTGCTGAGGTTAGTGACGTTGCCAACGCCGTTCTGGATGGCGCCGACTGCGTCATGCTCTCTGGTGAGACTGCTAAGGGTAACTACCCAATTGACGCCGTGACGATGATGGCCGACATCTGCTATCTTGCGGAGAGCGCGATTTGCTATCCTCCCCTGTTTGATGAACTCCGCGCCATCACCGCCCGCCCCACTGACACCGTTGAGACGGTTGCTATTGCTGCTGTGTCCGCCGCGCTCGAGCAGGACGCGAGCGCCATCCTCGTCCTCTCCACCAGTGGGAACACCGCTCGCCTGATCGCCAAGTACCGCCCGCACGTACCCATCATCACCGTTACGCGCAACGAGCAGACAGCGAGGCAGATCCACTTGCACCGTGGGTGCTATCCGTTCTGGTACCCGGAGCCACGCGGGATCGAGGCTTCCCAGTGGCAGACAGACGTCGACAACCGCATTCGGTACGGTCTCAAGAACGCCCTCGCCCTCAACGTCATCAAGGTTGGTACGCCTGTCATCGCCGTCCAGGGCTGGAAGGGCGGTCTGGGCCACACCAATACCCTCCGTATCCTCAAGGTGCCGACTGACCCCGCGGACCTGGAGATGCAGTCGCTGAGCGGCTGAAGGCTTGTAGACGAGGGAGTGAGCTGCTTTGGCGCTGACGAGGGAGCAGCGCCAAAACCCCCATGATTTTCTGTTTGCTATCCCATATGAAAACTGTGTCATGTCTCGATATAAAAGCTCTTAGACCGTCAAGTGAACGAGAATATAATTGTGTCCGCAACATCTGCGAAATCCATGAGAAATCGTACCCGTTCCACTATCCTGATTCACAAAGAGTGAGTTACTTTAGCTGGATTTTCGGCTAGGTAGGCACGGCAGAGTTCGTGCATGTTGCGGGAACGGAATTGCAAACGAAGACGAAGTCAATCGCTTGCCGCACGGAATCGATGATACGCTGTTCTATGGTTAGCATTGCAAAGAGCAGCAGATAAAAAGTACTTCACCTTATAGATGAACATCCATATTAGGTTGTCGGTCGAGTTTGAGCCAGGACAAACTACACGCTTGCATTTCTTCCTCCTATTCATCCTCGCTGATGAGCTTCCCAGCTCCTGGCGTGCGGTCACATGACGCATTGGGCAGATTCACCAGGTCATGTCCATATATGCTCTTCCCACATCAATCTGCTCAGATTTTGCAAATAAGATCACGTATGTATCAAGCACATGTCCAGGAAACCATGCTTGTGAACCAGTGAGCAAGGATCCCTGCCTCAGTGTGGTCCTGCACAAAAACCATGATCCCGGATCCGTCGCGGGAATTCACGTGACTCCTTCGCCACTAACCTGCAACCCGCGAGATTGGCGCATCTCACCGTGACCTTTCTCATCCGCACGATCAACTGCTTATACCTCTATGTCATAATATCTGACTATGGAACTAACTTCTACCCCATCAAGAACTGAACATCTGCAATCATCTGTTCAGGATACCCCGTCTGGTCAATGGCCAACGTCTACGCCACTCTTCGAGTCCGGTAAACTCGAACACCGGAAGGAGCTCTTGGGCGCCAAGCTGGGCAAGACGTTGCCTGAGAAAACTCAAGCACACTGGCTCTCAGATATCCTGCCGCCCACGAAACTCACTCGCGACGACATCAATGGTGTATACAAGCGTGTCGTGCAGGACGG